TGCTTGAGAATATTGATCGAATTTTTACCAGAAGGTTGCAACTTTCCAAATTCCATAGGGAATCTGGGGGATAGCTAAATAGTCTTAGCTTTGCCGTTGAATATGTTCAACGTTTCGATTGGTTCTCGTCCTCATGATTGGTATCTGTTAGGTATCCAGTCATAAATTCGTGCCAAATAGGATGTGAGGTGATTGGTGATCTGGATACTGATCTTAGTTATGCTAAGACACCTCATGTTTTTATAGGCTATGTTATACTACTAATGAATGGCCTATTGCTTTTTATATCCTTCACCACACAGGGTATTATGTCTTTGTGCATATGTTTGTAATAGGCAAAAGGAATCGAGATGGACCCATGGTTCCTTTTGATAATATGCATAGAATCATTTCTGAGTCTATTTACGCATGTCCGTCCGCCTGTCTGTTGATGTTAAATAGTAAACAAAGTAAACAAATTGCCCAGAGTACTGATTTAGGTCCAAATTGATGTATTCGAAGATTCGTTGAAATCGGTACAGATTTTACATAAATGATGCACCAAACTCCTAATGTTTGTCCGATTAACACGAAATGTTGCACAACGTATCAGATTGAGACTTTAATGAGATTATTGCGTTTTGTTTGTAATTGGTGCATATGCAGCCTTAGTCTATATATATATTACGAACGGGAATCTTATTGAGATTAAATTTTGCTATAAATCGTTTTCCATAAATTTGTCCCATGGTACGCAGACGACTCTAAAAACTTAAACTTCTTAAAAACAATTTTCGCTGAAATTTCTATTCGATGATAGACTATAAATGCGTACACATTTTGTAATTTTTTAATCCCGCAGGCGTAATTAACTTCTTAAAATGCGTCCTTCTTGCGAGCCGTCCGAAGACGAACTGGATAAGAACTCCTTGAAATGCTCTATACACTACATCCCCACCCTCTAGACCATATAGTTCGATATCAAGCGACTAGAAATGTACTTGGAGCAAACTGAGTAGATGTTACGAAAAATTCTGGGCCTGTCCATTGATCAATATCTTGCCTTTGTTGGTTATGGGTTGTCAATGAAGAATGGTGAATGGTATATAGCAAGTCCAAATTCTGTATACCGGAGGAGTTTGTCCATGACTCGTCAATAATTGGTCATGGTTTTGTTATATTCACTATCTACATGATTTATTTTTTACGAAATATTCAATCCAGATAATGAAACAATTTTTAATGTTCCAATGCCAATACTGTTATAAAAATCCATTATCTGCTCAATCGTATTTTTTATGAATGTTAACAGTAATTGGTTAACTAACCTTTGTAGAAAAAAAACTATAAATATTAATATTCTGAACTATAACAAAACTTTGTTGTTAGTGATACCTATCATCAAAAAAACCACAACATTTTGTAAACCGCAAGGAACGAGAAATAACTATTCCAGAGTCTTCTTAGAAATACAAAACACAAAGCATTTCTAAAGCCGAAAAAATCGCAAACATTATTACCCAATTTGCAATAGATAATCCGATTTGAATGGAAAATTGACAGAATATTTTCTGGAAAAAAAATGAGACAGTGTTTCAAATCTTAATGTCTGGGGAATGGCGTCTAAGTGTGTGTGTGTGGGAATAGATGCTTTTGACAAGGAGGTGTCAAAGAAGAAAGTGTGTTTCTTTACACCATTAGCAGATAAAAAACAGGCGAAGTCTTATGATAACGAATATTAGAATTTGGATGAGGTTGTGGGTGCCAGGCTAATGACTCATCGCAAACCAAGAAGAAACCCAAATTACCATACTGTTAAAAAGTCAAAACTATTTTGTTACATACAAACACCCCGTCACACACTCATACGCATTCATTGCGATGGTTGGTGGTTAAATTCACATTGGGTCTACGTGTTGTCTTTAATAGATAAGAAATAACCGCGAAATGTTTTAAATTATGCAAACAACAAAATATTGTATTTGTTGTCTTCAGTGTATGTATATATAGAGACAGACCGACAAACATACAAGAAAAAACATTTTAATTAATTGTGTATCGGTGAAATAAAACAACAACAACTACAGAACAGTAATTGCAAACAAAAATCAAGTAATAAAAGCTCGCACCTGGATACGCAACAGCAACATATGAATAATGCGAACAACGACGGCAGTCGGACGGACGGACAGCGACAACAACACACGTTCAAAATAATAATAAACAAAAACAAACAAGTAAATATGTTTCGGATTTTTTTTTTTGTATTTTTTGAAGGTTCAACACGATGCCTGCACGGTATCTCATAAAAATCAGTCATCAAAAAAGCAGCAACAACACCAATAATATCTAAAACTTGTTTAGACTCTTATTTTTATTCGGAATTTTATTTACATTGTTGTTGTTGTCATTCTATGTACATACATATATATGTATATACCTTGTATGCCCGTCAATGTGGGCCAGCTTGTTGTCATACAATTCCAATGTGTACTTGAACTTGAGAAAAGTTTACAGCAATTGTCATGTAAGAAAAACAATGACATTTGTTTGGCGGTTTGGGTGGGGGATCCGACAGGACCGAATGGCTGCAATACCCTACTACTGTTTAGCTACACAGAGTTTGAGATATATAAACAAAACAAAGTTCAAGTGAAGTATTTTTGTTTTGATATCAGTGACGTGTTGACATGTTTAAACATAAGATGTCATATTCAATGGAAAATGCGAACAAGAATGCAAGGACTTTGCCTAGTCGCTGAGATTATGATATGTCTAATAAATTGGAATTAAGTACAACAAGTAAAACCCCTTCACGACTATGGATATATTTAACAGATACCTTCTAACAGACGTCGCATTTTTCAAAAACCATTAAAATAAAATTGGATCAATTACAATATGCCATCTTTATCTAAAGGTGAACCGAATTAGACCAATCCATTCACCCATCTTTATCTAAAGGCTATGTCTACATTTCTACAAAACGCAATTAAACAATTTTGTACACATGGAAAATTTCATTCTTTAACCTATACCAATTTTTTTCATTTGGACAAATATAGAGTTTAGAATGGGATAAAATAATAAAGCAAATCTTAATCGGACACCCGTTGATTATTTGGAGCTCTATTACCATGCGCTATGTCTACATTTCTACAAGACGCAATTACGTCATTCTATGCTTGGTATTGGCATTGGTGCTCCATTAACATAAAATCTGACGAAAATATATATGGAAGCTATATCTAAATCTGAACCGATTTTCACGAAACTTAATACACATCATTCAAGGCTTAAGTCAGTACGCTGTGCCAAATTTCATGTAAATCGAAAGATATGTAGGGACTTTGTTGCACCATTTACATCAAATCGGACGAAAATATATATCTAAATCTGAACCGATTTTTCTCATTTTCAATAGTGTTCGTCCTTGGGCCAAATAAATGAGCTGTGCTAAATTTCATCCAATTCGAATCCAAAATACGACCTGTACAATTTACGGACGGGGGGACATGCATAAATCCACTTAAAAAGTGATTTTATGCATATTCCCAAAAGGAATCATGTGTCTATCTCGTTTACTTTTGCCTGTTACAAATATATGCACAAAGGATATAAAAAGGAGTGCTTATCCAATTTCAAAAAGCGTCATATCTTACTTTTTCCAGAGCAGGCGAGCAAGCAAAGCATACATAGGCCTGTATGAGAACTAATTGATCTGTTAAACATTCCAACAGTCTCCAATTGAGTTACTAAAAGACTGACACTTTTTAGTTGTTTGTAATAGATTTTTGTTATTTGAATTTTTGCCTTGTAAGGGCAGTGATCATTTGAAAGTAATTTTAAGTGATTATACTCTTTCCGGTTCCTAGAATGAAGACAAATGTCGAACTTTGACAAATTTGAATTTAATTCGCATATGCAAGTTTCGCATCAGGGTTGAATAAATACAAGATATCAACGTACGACCTTTGTAAAGCCACATAGCCCAATATGCCTGATGAGTCGCTTAACCAACGACAAAACGCGTCGCATAATGGTGGGTACGTAGGTTCTTCTCTTGGCTTTTCTTTTCATTGCAAAACTTAGACCATCAATCGACTCGAAAGAGTATAAATAATCACTTAAAAAAGTTTGTAATAGATTTTCTGTGTCATTTTCCCAAGGGCTGCCCGCAAGCGATTTGAGTCCTTGTTATTCTTTCTAATATTAAATAAGCTATCGAAATTTCCAGCCAACATTTTGGGGTACTTTGTTGTTGGGATTTTCTTTTCCGGTATTGCGTCCTTTCACATATGTCATCGACAATCGTTCTATATGCCGTCCGGCCGTTGTTGAATTTCAGAAAGGTATAGAGTAAGCTGTTTATATGGTTGGTAGCTTCATAAAGCTTTAATGAAACATTTAAAAAATATACAGGTTTGAAACCTATTTGATTTTTGTGGAAATTTGTGATCTACAAAAAACAAATTGTTATTACGAAGTTTTGTTTACATTTTTTGAGTAAGATTTTACATCTCTCTCCCTTATCTGCGGCCAAGATTCGTCGCAATAATAATAATACAAATAAAAAATAAATTATTCATAGACGTTGATAATTTCTAAACTAATTTTATATACTTATTTGTTAAAGGTGCTTATCTAAAGATAAATAATGAACAGCTGATTCTTCACGAGTATTTTCAGACGTCAATTTATACTCATAATTGCTCACTGCTTTTACACTGCACTAAAATAAATGCAAAATATTGATTTATTTTTTCCTTTTTTTCTCAACAGCTTCCCTTATAAATCTCTTCAATTTTGATATTAACCATTTAAAATAGTTAATATATTTTAACGAAAAAATCAAAGAACACCATAAAATTGTGTGCCTTGCAGAGTGCTGTGTGTGTTCGGCGGACGCCACCAGGAACGCGCTAAACACATTGAAAACAGAAAAGACAGAATGCAGTTTTTTAAAAAAGTTTTAATAACCTTTACAATATTCACCACACTAACTTCACACAAATGCTTAGTCCACAGTAGCGGTAGTTCGCCGGGTGATACAATAGCTGGCAATAGTCACTATAGTACACAGATACCGGCGGTGGCAGCGGTGGATAATGGACCACCGAGTATACATCAGCAAAAAGCCCCGGCGGCGGTTCATCATGCTGGACAGCAGCAGGCGCAGCATCAACACCAGCAGCAACAGCATCATCATCCGCAACAATACCAACATCAGTATTCTTCCCATGGCATAGGTGGCGGCGGTATACCACATCATCAGCATCCATCACAGGCGGCTGTGATAAATAGCCAACAACAACAACAGCAACATCAACCGGCTGTGTATCATCAGCAGCCCTCACACAGTGGTCATGCTGAACCTAAAAATACCTACAATTTGTTAAGCGAAGCCATGTCACAGGCTGTTAGTAATGAATTTAGTAAGTAATGATTTCATCGTCATCATTATTTCCCCATATTCATATCCATTAATAATAATTTCAATAATCATTTCCCTATTTTAGGCTCTCTAGGAGGAAGTGGTTCTGCCGATGGTGCTTGCCATGCTGATGATATCGATTGTTATAATGTTCAAGATCGTTTGGGCATGGAAGCCATTAGAACTTTACATCAACAGTTGGACGACGATGATAATGGCAATATCGATTTGAGTGAATCGGATGATGTAAGTCGTTACTGTAGTTGCATTTTTTAAATATCTCTAAGTACATGTGTGTGTGTGTTTTTGTGGTTTTCCCCCCTCCAAAAAAGTAACAAAAGGTATGCGCGTAAGGCACACGACACAAATGTAGTCCAGTTATTTTTGGCACACATATTTTAATGCCTTTATATGGACTCTCAAATATTGCGTCCGTCCAGAGTTATTGTTATTGAATTGGAGGTTTCTGCTTTTGTGTGCTTTTTTGTTGTGGGCACGTGAAAACAATCAACAACAAATTTTGGGGATTACAGTTCGACAAGTTTTTATACTCTCCACCATAGTATATTAATTTTGTCATTCCGTTTGTAACTCATCGAAAGACGATCTAGCCAAGAAAGACGATCTAGCCATGTCCGTCCATCCGTCCGTCTGTTGTAATCACGCTATCTTCTGAAGGAATTGAGATATGGTGGTCTTTTGTCTGCAGGCAGGCAAAGTTCGAAAATGGGATATATCGGTTCACGTTTAGGCATAGCTCCCATATAGGGGTACTCCCCAATTTTCGGTATTTTGGGGTTCTTGAGCGCGTTTTTCAATCGAATTCGCTGAAATTTGGTATATTGGGTTCTTATTGGGTACTAAATTTCTCCACAAAAAATTATAAATATAGGTCCACTTTTTCTGTTAGCACCCATATAACGTTACCTCCTAATTTTCAGTATTTTGTGGGCTTTTATCGTATTTTTCCACCGAGTTGGCTGAAAATTAGTATTTTAAATTCTTAATAGGTACCAAATCTCTACACAAAAAAGTTATGAATATAGGTCAATTTTTTAGATAACCCCCATATATGCGTACCCCACAATTTTCGGTATTTTGGGGTTCTTGAGCACGATTATCAACTGAATTCGCTATAAGGTAAAACATCTATTAATCTACCCCCTTTTTGGGGTAGTCCCTATATAACCTCCTTTTTATATTAAAACAGTTATCTGATTTGTTCCGCGTTTTGGGTTTGGTTCGAAGACTCTGTTATTCTCATTTCACCTGCGGAGGATATCGAGATAAAAAACTAGAACGTAAGGTTCCATAATGAACTATATATGAACTATAACCCGCATTTAGGCCTAGTCCTAGCCCCTGTGTGGGAGGTACCAGAAGGAGGTCTAGAACCAATGTTTCGATGAGGCACATTTGTATGTACCCTAATTAGCCATAAGGCTAATTAAAAATGTATGTTCCCTATATTTCCATTTCAAGTACCTGTACACCATAGATATACTGATCTATGGTGGATATATCCAACGCGTTTTAACTTGTTAATGATTAGTTTTTTAAGAAGGGTATTGCAATTTTTTATATTCTTGCAATAAAAGTTTTTTCAAAGGCAATCTGAATGCCTTAAAATGATCTTAAACAATGATGTTGATTTGTTGAAACCGGAAAAATCCTTCGAAATTCTCTTTTAAAATCATATGTTGGCCTTTAAAATATATTATTATTCTTATATCCTTATATACTTCGTTCCTAAAAACATTTATTTTCATTTCTATTTGCAGTTCTTGCGCGAGGAATTAAAATACGACTCTGGCTATGAGAAGCGTCAAAAAGCTTTCCATTTCAATGATGATATGCATATTTCTGTTAAGGAGTTATGGGAAGCATGGTTGAGATCTGAGGTATGTTTCCAATTATGTTGCAAAATCAACATTCATTAATTCTTTCATATTTTTTTTCAATTTAAAATAGGTTCATAATTGGACCATTGAACAAACTACCGATTGGTTGGCTCAATCAGTGCAATTGCCGCAATATGTGGAACTATTTAAGCAACATAAAGTATCGGGAGCAGCCTTGCCAAGGTAAGTTATTGAACAGTTAATATTATTCGAATTTTTTCTAAATATTTTCCTTTTCCAGATTGGCTGTTAACAATATGCACTATGTTAGTAATGTATTGGGCATTAAGGATCCCATACATAAACAAAAAATTGCTCTTAAAGCTATGGATGTGGTACTATTTGGACCACCAAGAGGTAGGCCCTGGAAACCTATACAAATGTTGATTTTTTTCAAATAATTATTTTTTTCTTAATTTCAGAGACTGGTACTCGCTGGAAGGATTATATATTAGTTACATTACTGTTAAGTGCTATAATAGGTTGCTGGTATGCCTATCAACAAAATAAAAACGCCAAAAGACATTTGCGACGTATGGCCCAGGACATGGAGGGTTTACAAAGGGCCGAACAAAGTTTACAAGAAATGCAAAAGGTATTTTCCTTTATCGCCATAATACACTACAAATTCATTAATAATATTCCTTTTTTTAATAGGAATTGGAACGGGCACGGCTAGAGCAAGAAAATGTTGCCACGGAAAAAATGGATTTAGAGCGTCGCCTTAAAGAAGTACCCACCTTAACATCTTCCAATTCCGATTTGGAAGTACAACAGCTGAAAAAAGAAATTGAAATGTTGCGCACCGAACTATCACGTGCCGAAATTGAATTGGTCGACAATTGTTGGGCCCCACCACCCCAACTGCAGTCATGGCTGCAATATACATATGAATTGGAAAGTAAAAATCATTTGAAAAAACGTGTTGCCGCCGAAAAACAATTACAATCTGCCCGTGAAGCTTGTGAGAAATTGCGTAAGAAACGTTCTAGTTTAGTGGGTGCTTTTGTCTCGACACATGGCAAGAGTATAGATGATGTTGATCGTTCTATCGTTGAGGCCCGCAACTCTTTGGGCGAGGTAACAAATGAATTGCAAGAACGACTACACAGATGGAAACAAATTGAACAGTGCCTAGGCATGAATATTGTCAACAACAATGGTTTATCGTACTTGGAAAGTGTTTTATATGGCCGCAATGGTGGTGGTTCTTCTATTAAAAGTTCGAGAGGTAAGTTCAAATATTTTTTTTTATATCTGTAACTACGTATTTTGAAAAAGGGAATACTTCTTGTAGTCAATGTTTAGCAACGAATAGTGTTTTATGTACATGTGCTACGTGTCCCTGTCTTAAGTGTTTGTCCATTGAAGCTTAGTTGCCATTTTGAATGAGAGTAGCTTATGGTGTGTGGGTCGCTTGTATGCTTTGGAAACAAAGACGCTAGATTTTTTCCCTACCATTTCAATACTCATTTTTCCACTTTTGCTATATACCCAACAGAACAGTTTTAGGCCCCACTCCAAAAATCTACATACTTGTTATAAGAATAATAATTGGCTACATAGTTTGAGGATTGAAAGGAATTTGATATAACAATTCTATCCAAATTCATATGTATACCGTGATGAATAGCTGTGTGCAAACAATTCAAACTTTATTGCTTGGCTTGACTTGAAAAACGAAATGCGATGAAAATCTCTCTTTATGATTTTCCCCTCCATGTTGTTGTTGTACAAAAGGTGAGTTGTGGAAAATGTCTTCGTTTTTTAAGAAGCTTTTCGTATTTTATGTGTCACGTGATGATATGGTCCTTGAAATATATAGAGGGGTTTATTTAAGAAAATAATTTAAATTTTTCAGTTGAAGGGGAGCTTTTTAATAATTTTTTTAATGGGTCTCTTTCTTTGATGTTCAGACACTGCCAGATACAATTTTTTCAATAAATTTTTATTAGTAAAAGTTATGATTTTCATTTCAGAATTTTGTTTACCTATAAAAACCTGTCCATATGACAGATGTATTTTTACAGTAGGAGACTTGTGGGATGCTTGTCAACTTGTACTTCATTATATATAGGACTTTTGGCTATAAGAGATCAGGTAATCCAGACCTATAAAAGGTGGCTAGAAAATAATTTTATCTGACATTCAGATATAGAAGATCTATATAAGGTACTTATTCTAAAGAACGTCTTTAACTTCATTATATATAGGACACTATAGAGGACTTTTGGCTATAAGAGATCAGGCGAAGATGTTCTAGCCATGTGAGACCTGTCATCCAGCAGCAGGATTAGAAGAAGAGTGTCATATATTCGGAAGAGTAATTCTGTCCAATGTTTTCGAACTATAAAATACATTTTGAAGATCTGTTAGTAATAGAAGACCATGCTAAGACATTTTAGACACATCGGATCTGTCTTTCATCTACGTGAGAGTAATGTCTTTGATTGGGTGAAAACTAGACGGGAAAAGAGAGACCACCGAAGATGTTGAAGCTATAGAAAAACGAATACCTGTGGAAGGTAAAATAGGTATAAAGACCAAGGGAAGGTGTTATAGCCACCCTTGTCTTCCTAGTACGTAACACCTATGTCTTCTTAAAATAAGAAAGCATTTGTTGAAGACTTTCTATGTAGTAGTGAATACCTATCTTTTAATTTCTTCTAACTTGAAGAGAGGCCAGCCTAAAATTTTGAAGTTATAGAAGAAATACATATAACCAGAAGAGAGGCTTGTCCGATGTTTTCTAATTAAATAACATCTGTCGGAGATTTTCTATCTCATGAAACGGCCCATCTTTCAAATATCTTTTAACTAGAAGAGAGATCAGTCGAGGGTGTTTATGCTGCAGAAGAAGGTTCTCTCTACCAACAAATAGTATTAGACATTGTTATGGTAAAAAAATATTTTCCCAGCAATCCTGTCGATTACTTGCACAATTTGCCCATAACATATAGTTTGTAATACTTAAGAAAGGGACATGACCCAGCTTAAGAGAAATACATTTATCTAGGACATCCATATTTTTATACCCTTCACCACACTGTGGTGAAGGGTATTATGTCTTTGTAACAGGCAAAAGGAAACGAGATAGACCCATGGTTCACTTTCTGAGTCGATTTATGCAAGTCCGTCCTTTCGTCCGTTTGTAGCATTTACCATCCGATTTGGATGAAATTTGGTACAGCTCATTTATTTGGCCCAAAAACGAACCCTATCGAAATTGGAAAAAATCGGTTCAGATTTAGATATAGCTCCCATATATATTTTCGTCCGATTAAATAGGAATGGTGAACCAAAGTTCTTATATGTCTTCCGTTCAGTTTCATGTCAATGTCCTTTCGAAAAGGTTAGAGGAGACTATGTAGAATATACCCAAAGGGGTGAAGTGTATCATATTGTTGGCCCCGTCCGACTGTACTACTTTCCTTACTTTTTTTTTAATTTAACAATGTCCGATAAAACAATCACTGTTTTAATTACTACTTTACGTCTTAATCTTCATTATGTTTATTATTAACAATTAATGCGAAATGAATGAAATTCAGGAATTTATTTTTAGTCCAAATTAAAAAAAAAAAATAATAACAACAAAATAGATGTGCTAACCAAATATCCAATTAACACATATTTAAATTATTTTACAGGTCGTATTACAAGCAGCTCAGATGAATTAGATGATGAATCTGTTCAAGGTAAGCTAAATTTTGAAAACTTTTCCTTGATCTCAGCTGAATGAAACTACTACAACTTACTATCAACCTCCTCAACCGAACCACACACGACCAACCCCCCAGACCAACAATGTGAAATAGTGTGATATATTTTAGACACAAAAATAAGAAATACTTTTTCCAATTCATGTCAATCGTATAGTTTATCATTAAATGGCATTTAACGATTGATTACAAACGAATATCGGTTTTCCCAGTTTTCATATTCCTCTACCCGAAAAAAACAAACTAAAGAAAACATTAAACACAACCACTGTTATTTTGAATATTAGTTAAGTTAAGCATTTAAGCAATTTAGTGCAATAATATTAATCAATCAATCACAAGGGGTTATAATGGACTCTTTGGAACTAACTTAAAAAACAATTTGAAAAATTATGCATAGCCCATTACAACCCCTTTCGATTGTATATTGAATTTATGTTTTAGTACTGAGAATTTTTTTTATTTGCATTCAATTTATTTGTTTAATGTTAAACTGTGAATTTGTTTCTTCCCCAACCACTCCCCCTACCTTTACATCCATCCTGTTTACATTCTTTGCCAATGGGCGTTAAAATTCAATTAAAGTTTTTTGTTTTTTCTTTTATATTTCTAATGTTAATTGTTGTTAGTTTTATTATTTTCGGTTTGTTTTTTTAATATCCCTCAGTTTTTATATTGGCAACGTACAATATTATCTTTGTATGTATCCATTTTTATTTTATTTCTTTTTTTCTTTTATATCTACATTTATATTTTATACACATACCTACTTATAGCATTTCACTTAAATTTTATAATAAAAACAAAAACAAATTTTGATTTGAAAATTTTAATTGTGTTTTTTCCATATGTTCTGTTGTAAATACAAGAAACCAACTATTTTTTTGTATTTATCTACCAGTTTCATTGTATTTTTATTTTGGTTTCACAGTGTGTGGTATCTCTCTGAAATGCTTTAATCCTTTCCGGTGCTTGCTTGTTGTTATTATTTATTGTTTATTAAATATTGTTAAATTTCAAATATTTGTTGTTTATGAATGTATTTTTCTTCTTCTTCTTGTTAAATTTAATTAATATATAAAGCCCTCGGCGCGGTTATCAAGAACTTCTCGTGATTCCAAAAGAATGAATTTTATTTGTTGATTCTTCATAACCGCCATGGACTTTATTAATGTACATATGTACAAATTTATTAAGAACAAAGGTGATTTATAAAAAACAAAACAAATATTTATATGTTTGTGGTATGCTGCAGAGTGAGAAGAGGTTATTGTCTGATTTTATGTTGTTTGCCAATTAACAACGATAACACATAAAACAATTATTTTCACATGTCATTGTAAAGTGTCACCATAAAATTACGTTAAATGGTCTCATAGGGAAGTGTCTTGGTCTGACACTCATTACACATACATCATGTGTTGTGGACACAGACATATTGGTCTGGAATTCCGCAAATATGTCTTGTTGAAATATTATATTGGAATATATCAGAGACAATTTGTTATACGTTGAAGATGAATACCTGAGTTCTTTTAGATTTATTTCAAAACTAGTTAGGGTTATATACAACAGATATAAATTGTGAAAAAGGAAATAACCAAATCCAATTAGAATATATTTTATCAAAAACTCTCAAAAACAAAAACTGTGCGACATGACAAGAAAAATTCTTAAACCAATAAGGAAAGTAGTAAAGTCGGGCTGGGCCACTTTGGGTATATTGTACATATTTATCCTTACAATTGCATTTCAATGTTCCCTCGAAGGAACATACCCATGTCTTTCCGCAACCTATGATAAATTTAATGTTATTCGGGCAGAGTTAGAGTGCCATGGGGCAAATTTATGAAGAACGATTATAGCAAAATTGTTAAAAATTTAATTTCAATCAGACATCCGTTCGAAATACATATGGAAGCTATGGCTCCATCTGCACCAATTTCAACAAAACACAATAACATCATTCAAGTCTCAATTTGATAAGTTGGGCAAAATTTCGTGTTAATAGCTCAAACATTAGGAGTTTGGTGCACCATATAATATATATATATATATATATATATGAGAGCTATATCGAAATCGGGACCGATTTTCACGAAACTTACCACATGGTCCTTGAAAATAATTTTCTTAAATAAACACGTATATTTGTCTAATGTTAATTGAAAAAAAGATCTTAAGAAATTCACGCTCATTGTCCTTTAAAAATATTCTTAAAAATTCAATCTTTTTGGTTTCATGGTCCTTGAAAACATATTCGTCAAAAATCTACCCTTATTGAAAACAATATTCATAAAAAATCTATGCTTAACAGTCTCATGATTTGCAAAAAAATATTCGCAAAAATCTGTGCTAAAAAATCCACGTTTATTGGTTTCATGACCATTATTTTTTTTTAATATACGTTTATTGGAAATATACGATCTGGCCGGCCCATGGTCCTTGACAAAATGTTCTTAAAATAAAATACCAATTTCACCTTTTCGGGCCTCTTAAACTTTCTGAAGTATTGGAATAACCCAAATTATACCATGCATCATGTCCAACATAAAAGACAATTGTAATAAATTTAAACTAGAAAGCGAAACAGTAATCACCGGAAGGGTTATTAAAGTATACATACGATAGAATAAAATTTTACTGTAAGTATTGACTCGATGGCGAACGGACTGCCACTAAAGACTCATGGAGCTTTATTACAAAAGCAATTCCTTAATGTTTTTCAATTCAAAACTATTGTTCATGTTCTCCAAATAAATACAAAAATTATTCCATAACCAAAACGTATCGGTTGAATAATGGAATGGAAAATCAATTAGGCACATTATACAAAAAAATGTAAAAACCTGGATGACAATGATGAGGTTCATTACGACCAGGTAAGCTGAAACCGGTGATTTGTAATTTTTGTCTGTCTATTTCTAATTTTTAGTTAATTTACCATTAATTCATACAATAGTATATGTTAAGTGTCTGTTTGTTTGTTTGTTCGTTCGTTCGATTGTCTTTTTGTGTTGGATGCATGATGGATGCAAAAAATATTAACTCCTTCTTACCTTTCTTACACTCACCAACTGATTCTCTCGCATTATAAACAAAAACTATGTGACTAAACACAGAAACGCCAAACATACATACATACATTTAGGGTCGGCGCATTTAATGTTAAATATAACCCTTAGAACTCCCTACTTCTCAAAGGCAACATAACAAGTAGGGCGAAAATTAAATTTTTCTCTTTTACCCTGATTATTTAATCATTGTCCACCCTACCTTCTTCCCCTTTGTTTGACATACATACATATGTATTTGTACTTGACTGTATTGAACAGTCACTTAAATAACAACAACAATAATAACAAGCAGCATCATTTCCTAACGCCGAAATGCCATTAGTTTTAGTTTCCATGTGCTAACAACATTCCCTATCGCCCGCTCCCTGAAATTATTAATACAACTCTCCCGCTAGTCTCATCTTTCTAGAATTCTATCTATTATCTTGTAATAGGACAAAATCATTAAAAGTTTAAAGAAATTTTATATATTTATCCAGGTATTATCGATGGTTATAATCGTAATTCGGCCCTCAGTGGATCTGCCATTTTGAATAGTAGTTCGAATACCGCACGTGATGAATCATCGGGCAGTGAAGATAATGTGGAATCTCAATCTGTGCAATTTTATTTGGGTACAGCACCGACGGCAACCATAAGTGCCAGTGCCATAACAACATCGGCAATGTCTCAACGAACCCCATTGCCAACACCATCGCCATTAGATGCGTACAATCATATTGGTGGTGGGGTTGTGACCAGCAATCATGCTGCGAATATTGTAAATTCGAGTAATGCTGCAGCGGCTGCAACATCGGCATCATATAATGACAGGTATAGTTTTGTTCTTGTTGTTCTTTTTTTTGTAGAATTCATTTTTCTGTTCTACTCTTTGCTAACATAGAATTAATAATTTTTGTTGTTGTTGTATTTTGTTAGTTCAATCAATCAAAATAACACAGTGCTATACCTGAGGTGATAACGCTTTTAAAAACTAGACAAAAAACCCAGAGGATTATTAAAATGAAATGAAATTAACACTTGTAGCTGAAGTGGTCCCAGATTAAATCGAAACTATATTCTTCTGATAGCCTTACAAATCAAGTTATATGGAAGTAATGGTCCATGGAAAATAATTTTAAAAACCCACACATAATTGTCTTATGGCTTTTCTTTAAAATTGGACTCCTATCGGTCTCATATTCCTTAAAGAAATATTCCTAAAATCGCGGTGTTTTGATGTCATGGTCCTTAAAAAAATCTTTTAAATTCACGCTTATCGGTCTGGCGTTGCTAGAAATGTATTTTGTAATAATCCAAGTCTGTGGCTGTTATGGCCCTTGAACATTTTTGTTTTATAATCCCCCATTATTGGTGTCATGATCCCCAAAAAATATTAGTAATTCAAGATTGTGGGGTGTCATGATCCTTGAAAACATATTTTTAAAAAATCGACGCATATTGGTCACGGTCATTGAAAAAAATATTCTTAAACCAGTAAGGAAAATAGTAAAGTCGGATGGGGCCGACTATATGATACCCTTCACCACTTTTGGTATATTCAACAGATGCATTCTATATTTTGGGTCCTTGGAGCATCATTTACTTAGAATAGGAGAAAAATATATGTAGGACCTATATCCAAATCTGAACCGATTTTCACGAAACTTAACACACATCTTTCTAAACTGAATTCAGTACGCTATGTCAAATCTCGTGCAAATCGAAAGATTTATAGGTATTTTTTTGTGCACCATTTACCTTAAATCGGACGAATATATGGGAGCTATATTTGAATCGATTTTTCCCAACTCCAATAGGGTTCCTCCTTGGGCCAAATAATTGAGCTGTGCCAAATTTCATCCAATTCGAATGAAAAATGTGACCTGTAATTTGTTTACAATTTAACATGGACAGACGGACGGACCAATGTGTCTATCTCGTTTCCTTTTGCCTTGAAAACATATTATTTAAAAATCTCCGCTTATTCTACTGGTGGTCCTTAAAGAATTATTCATTAAAAATCGCCGCTTACTCGTACTCGTGGTCATTAAAAAATATTCTTAAAAAATGCACGATAAGTGTACTTGTGGTCCTTGAAAAAATATTGTTTAAAACTCCCTGCTTATTTTACTCGTGGTCCTTGACAAAATATTCTTTAAAAATTCACGCTTATTGCAGGGATGAACATTGGTGTTATGGTCCTTAAAGGGTAATTAACAAAAAACTAGGCATGGCTCTTGAAAATATTAATACATAAAACCACGCCTATTGATGTCACCTCCACGAAAAAAATCTAGGCTTATTGGTCTCATGGCCCTTGAAAAAAATATTCGCAGAGAATCAACGTTTTTTGGTCTCGTCGTCCTTAAAAAAATATTCTTAAAAAATAACTACTATCAATCGTCCTTAAAATGTATTGACAGATTGGATCCTTTCGCCTATAGCACTGTGTTACTTTTTTCATTGTCATTCTCTTTTTCTCATTTTTTATCTTAATTTTTATTTATTACAATTATTTTATTTTCTTTTATTTATTATTACTATTTATTTCTATAATTATTTCGACGTTTAGTGTTTTTATGATACATGACGGTAATCGTCACAGTCCCTCAGTATCATCCGAACGTTCAGATCGTTCATCGATTACAGTACCACCGCGTACTAAAAAAGTCAATCATAGTAATGTGTCATTGTCGTTGACGACAACGACCGCGGTGACAAATGCAACGACTAGTAGTCACATTAATACACCAATACAACCGGCGACACCACCATCAAGTGGTGGTGGTAGTAATCCTCCTCTAGGTGGAGGTGGTCGTGCACCAATACCTCCACCACGAAGATCAAACCAAAGGTTTGTGGTTGCTTAACTTATTGAACAACTCCCGAAAAGTGTTTTCTTTCCCCCAAAAGTCTCCCATTAATATTTTGCAAAAGAACATGTTGTTTGTGTTCCCTAGCATTTGTTAAGCATGACTTTGTTATGTTTACACCCCTTTACCAGAATACACCTTAGCCCTTAAATCACTACATTCTGAATGTTAGTAGTAAAATATTTATAGATTACGCCAAGGGCTTGAGAAACTAATTCAAATTACAAGTCATTCTATCAAGTTTTGAAAATGTGGGAATGGTTCCAGTGGTTTAAGGGTTAGCCATATAGATTGAAGATTTGTGCCCCATCCTCCTCTCATCCCCCTCTCCAAAAATTAAATCAAGCATGATGTTTGTTATTGTATGTCCTTCTTTTCCTCTCTGTACACCCATCTCTCCCTCCCTCTCTTTGTGTTTTTTTTTTTGCTTCTGACCTGATAGTTCCAGCATTAACATTTTCTTTTTCTAATTTAGATTTTTTGTTTTTCGATTTTCTTTTACAATTTCAGAAACTCGAAACAAAAATCTACTACATGAATTTTTGTTGTTGTCTCTGTGTGCCACAATTATACCACAACTTGATAGACTTGATACGACTACATACATACTATGCTATTAAAATATAATAATAATAATTTTCCTCATAAAAATTACTCGATATTATTGTTTATTGTATAAATATGTGTAATTTCATTAACTTTCATCCCAATATCTATTTATCTCACACCTATAATTAATTTTATGTAAATTAATAAAATAATAATTATTATTTTTTATGATTTCAATATTTATTTATTTTGTGTATTATAATTTTTTGTTTTTATTAGTTGTTTAAATGTAAGTGTCAGGGTGTCGGTACATAATTTATAAGATGATCTAAGTTTTGCAATGAAAAGGAAAGCCAGGAAAACTTTGATCATTGAGATCGACTCGAAAGAGTATAAATAATTCACTTAAAATGTAATTCAATTGATCACTTAAAATGTAATTCAATATCATGTTAAAAATGCTGGAAGTTCTTTATTTTTAAATTGTGATTTTCAAGGCTGAACTTTGACAACTGTAGCCCTTTTGATCCGTGAGTTAAATTTTCTGCACTCACACATTGTCCCATTCGAAAATAAGTAACATCTGAGGTATTAAAGTGGATTTATACATGTCCGTCCGTCCGTCTGTTGATGTAAAATTGTAAACAACGTGCAGGTCGCATTTATAATCCGATTTAGATGAAATGTGGTGCAGCTCATTTAATTGGCCTACGGACGAATCCAATTGAATTTGGTGAAAATCCGTCTAGATGTAGATATAGCTCCCATATATAGTTTCGCCCGATTTAATGTGAATGGTGCACTAGAGTAGATATATATCTTTCGATTTGCACGAAATTTGGTATATCGTACTGAATGATGTGTGTAATGTTTCCTGAAAATCGGATCAGAATCAGATATAGCTCCCATATATATTTTCGAATTTTGGCATAGTTTACTGAATTATGTCTGGAAAAACGTGTGCTATGTTTCCTGAAACTCGGTTCAGATTTAGATATAACTTCCATATACAGTTTCGCAAGATTTTAGGTAAAAAGTGCACCAAAGTCACTAAAAATAATTTGATTTGCACGAATTTTGGCATAGCGTACTGAATTAAGTCTGGAAAGACGTGTGTTAAATTTCGTGAACATCGGTTCAGATTTAGATATAGCTCTAATGTATAGTTTAGCCCGATTTTAGGTAGATGGTGCACCAAAGTCCATGAAAATCATTTTGCACAAATTTTGGTATAGCGCACTGAATTTAGTCTAGAATAATGTGTGCTAAGTTTCGTGAAAATCGAATCAGATTTAGATTTATTTCGTCCGATGTAAATGGTGCACCAAAGTCCCATATATATTTCGATTTGTGTAAATTTGGCATAGCGTCTTGAATTAAGTCTAGAACGATGTGCGTATAGTTTCGAGAAAAATGGTTCAAATTTAGATATATATTTTCGTCCGATTTTAAGTAAATGGTGCACCAAACTCCTAACGTTTGTCCCATTGACACGTTGCGTTTTGATGAAATTGCTGCAGTTGTAGACATACCTTTCATATATATTTCGAACGGGTGTCTGATTGAGATTAAATTTTTAACAGTGCGGCATACCGAATAGCGTGTATCAAGTTTGCTATAAGTCGATTTTCATAAATTTGAAATCTGCCCGAATGAGGAAATTTGTCCTTCAAAGGAACATCGAGATGAAATTGTTATGTGCAATAAAACTATAGTGATGAAAGGTATCATATAGTTGGCCCCGTCCGACTTTACTACTTTCCTTACTGGTTATATTAAGTGTAATGTTTATTCTATGTATCGCTTGAATGACTTTGCAATTATGTGTAGAAATGTGTCAGTAAATATATATTTTTTTTTTCAACTTTTTGCCATTAATGAGCCTTAATGAGAATTCTAAAATATTAGACTGGTACTAATTTTGTTTCCAGCCCCTAAAGCTTTTTCCCTGTCTCATATCTAAACATAGCCTGAGAAAAAAAATAAATGAATGGACAATGGTTTGTTTTGTCTATTTTCTATCTCTCTCCTCTTCTCTCTCTCTTTCTATAGCTTTCATACATCTTCAACATTTCCCTACCTTACAATATTGGGTAGCAATGGTTTTCAACACCGCCGGATGACTATTATTCCAGTCGATCATAGATTTGATCGTGGTATTAAGAGACTCCCGTAATATTAACAATAATAATTATCGGTGCAAGTATATTCATGACTTTTTGCTTGAAAATTTGCTAGAGAGTGGCTTTAGTGTAATTAAAAACCTCCATTATATGACGGAGGGAGAAGGCCATTTATAAATTACCAATATAAATCCAGTAGATTGATTTAAAACCAATAACATTTAGTAACATTTTTTAAAAACTGCTGAAAACCAATCCATTTTTTGCATTCTAAGAATTCAAAATGAATGAAGCAGTTCTATTACAACAATAGAATTGGAAGGCCAAAGTAATTACACCATGCAATGATAATTTTTAATTTTTTTTTTTTTCAAAGAAGTGTGCAAAGCTCTTTATTTTGTACTGAAGATATGGACCGATGTACTAAATTTAACCTAGATGTTTAAGCCGCTTATATGAATATACTTTGTAGGATCTTTGAAAATATGTCAAGGAATACATCTAAATAATAGGGACATGATTAATTTCACAATTAAAAAATCAAAAATTCACATTTTGATATGTTAGAATAGTTTTCACAAAGTTTTTTTTTTAAATAGCTAAATCACCTTTAGTGTAGACCGTCTCAAAAATATGTTCCTTTCCCCCGATTACACCTTTTGCAATGCGTGTGTCTAAATATTTAAAACTGTAAATAACATTTTTGTAACATTTTGTATTCATTTACTAAAAATATATTCTTGTAACTAATTCAATTCCTCATTCATTTCCTTTGCAGCCCTCTATTAAGATCGCAAAGTTCGGATTTAATGGCAGCCAAAGATATTTATACCCTATTGGGAAGAACACAACCACCTAACAACAACATTCAACAAACTTTAAATAAAACCAACAATAGCAATATCAACAACAACAATACCGGACCAATAACTGTAGGCGGAGTAGCCACAGCAACGGTTGGCGGCAAATCTGTAACCGCTGGTGGTAATAAAACAAAGAAAATGGTTAAACAGCACAGCACCGCAAGTCAACAGTCTACCTCATCGACATCATCATCAGTGCAATCAGCACCAGAACAGGGGGCCAGTAGCGGCAGCAAACAACAATCGCCCAGTCGTTTTTCAACCGCCTCGCTGGAACGACAACTAATGCAACAGCATCATTTGCTATCGCAAATCAATAAGCCACCCAAATCAGTAACACCGATGACATTTCCTAGCGTCGATAGAGATTTCCTATCATCCGTGTCAACTCTTCAATCGGCCGGGAGTTTAAAATCGGAAGATTTAATGTTGGCCTCACACATAACGGATTCAATGACAAATATTTCGGATGCGACTTATCACAGCGATACGCAACTAAATAAATCGGAAGAGAATGCTGCGGCAGCCGCTGTAGGTGATGGTGGTGGCAATGTTAAGAAACGTAAAAAAGGTTTACGTTTTGGATTCGGTAGTAAGAAAAGTATTTCAAGTTCTTCGGATACTAGCACAAAATCAAAAAATACATAGTTAAATATGGCGGCAATGCATAAAGTATTTACAAAATATTTATATAGCATGGCAACAAGAAGACGAAGGAGTCAATTATGAGATGATACAGATGATGATGATAATGCCTCACTTTAACATAAAGCAATAATAAATTTGGACTAAGTGTTTTTTTAAGAAAAAAGTCTTCCATTTTTTCTCCCAAAAGTTAAAAAATAATTAAAAATAATAAAACAAAAGACATCCTAACAATCTGTGAGGCGCTAATAAAATTCTTGGTCTCTTAATTGGCTCTGTAATTATTTTACTTACGCCCTATTTTCCCCCAATTCCATTTTAGTGCCTTTGAAATTTAATTGAAAAAAAATATTTATTTTATTTGAAAATAGATTTAATATAATGATTTTTTGGTTGAATCCCGATATATTTTACATACATATTTTTGTTCTTGAGACATGACCCTCATTGTCCGATTTCCATTACATCCGGTCCATTAAAATTAAATTTATTCTATTATAATCCGCATTAGGGTTGGGGGCGAAATCATTTTCTACATCCTTTATATTTTCCCATATGTTGTAAAATCGAATATTTTTTCTTGCCAACAATACAATCTTGAATCATTTTTTTTTTCTTTGTTGCCACAGACTGCTGGAACAATTTCTGAACAAATTTAGAATATATTTAAGGTGTTTTTTTAAATTATCACATACAATTCTTAAATGTTATCCTTAGCGCCCAATTGTAGACTTTATTGAGAGTATTTAAACAAATTATGTATTGAATATAAAATTCTGTATAAGAGTTATTGTGAAGATATATATGAGGTATACCATCGATCTCTTTTGTATTCATTTTGATGGAAACACAGTAATGCTGTTTTTTGTGGGGTTAATGTACTTGGTCCTGTTAAGCTGTCCTTGGGAGCATCAAGGTCGTTTTTACTGACCAAAGAAGTAATTTTATTCGGTTCTAATTATTCGATTCTATTTTTTTTTTCTTTTTTTATTTTGTCCCACCGAAGACAACCAATATATGGAAGTTATGACTTAATTTTACATTCCGATTTTTGTGTAGCCATTGCTTAACAGTCAAACCACATTTTAGTGAATAATTACAATTTTTTCTGAATTTTTTCAGAATATGTGTTATTCAGGACCACATTTTATACATACACACATACAAAATTCATAAAATTTGGTGTTAACCTCTAATTTCCCTAAACGCTAATTTGAATACTTTGGATAACTTCATTTTATTTCCATTCAAACGAGGCCAATAGCGATTTTCAAACATTTTCTTAAATACTCTCAATTTAGTTTAAAATAACGAAATCTCGGGGAAGATATAATGTTGATTTTGTAGCACAGTATTGATTTCAGCGATTACACATATAAAATAATTATCACAGCGAATGTATATCTTATAAACAAAATTTGTACGATTTTTTCAAACTATCAGGAGGACCATAATAAGTTAATGATGAGTGGGTTGAGTTGTGTTTGTTTTTATAATGAAAACATGGTATTAAATATCTTTGCATTTTCTTGAAATGAAAATTAAATGATATTTTTTCTATTAAAAATGGTCTTGCGATATAATTTCGAAATATTGAGTATTTTATTCAAACCTAATAATTCTGTTTTGTAGCTTTGTGTTATAATAATTCACATTTATTTTGAAATGCACTGAATGAAACTATTCAAATATATTTTTTGTAACATTACTCAATCGATCTTGTGATCGATGAGAATTTTATTTAATTTACATCCTCTCTTTTTTTTTTTTTTTTTTTTGATATATTTATATCTCATTTCTTTTATTTATAATTTATTAAAAAAGAAAAATGTTTTACATATATTTTTTCACTTTGGACTGTACGACGTACTTATGAAACACTTAAAACGGCCAACACACTTTCCAAGCATGTCTTATTCGGGAATAACATCTCCAATATATTTTTTTTTTTTTGCTCTAACATCCTAATCCATGAATTAATTATACATGACATACAATTAGATTCCCTATTGCTTCCCCATAGTTAATAGTTTATATTAAAAAAAAAATTATAAACAAAAAAATCTTATAGCCAATGTGAATTGTAAACAAAATTACTTCCTATTAGCCAATTACAAAATTTAAAAAAATTAATGTGTTTTTTATTCCTTGTTCGCTTTAAATAAAAAAGCTTTTGCTTTTTTGTCACCAATACTTTTACCATTAAATGATATTAGTGAACAATTTATGTTTATTTTTTCTTCAATTGTGCAACATTTACTTAAAAAGTTACAATTTGATATTCACACAACAATGGTATTAGTAAGTGTTGTTAATTGTAGGAGAGCAATGTATAAAGAAACATCGTCATATAAATAAATTAATATATTTTCTACAATATTTATACAAAAATGAAATCTTCGTCTCTCTATTGTAATTTGATAAATAAATTATTATTACTATTGTATAACATTTGTAAGCGTATAAAAGAATATTACAACTTTATATTATATATTGTAAATTATTGATTATTTAATAAAGAAAATTGGACTTACAAACAATGGTCTATTAAAAAGAAAATTGTGTTTTTATTTTAAATGAAATAATAAAAAACACCTGTCATCTGAACCACAAATCTTGAATTGTTAAGAATAATTTTCAATGGCCAACACACCAATAAGTGTGGATTTTTATTAGAAAATAAACACACCATTATTAATTAATTTTAAATATGTTTTATTTCAATGATCAACCCCATCTCGAAAGAGAAATAAATAAAAATATTTAAATGGATGATCTTTTGCTCTAAAAGGCATGAAACTCAATCAACCCCACTTCAATTTTTCTATATTTTTCATAGGCCATCTTTGGATTCTCATTGGGTTCAAAATCTCCTATCAAAAATCAATATTTACCGAAACCGACTTTTCGACTTTTGCCTTTGACTAAAAAATGGGCTTTTAAATCTTTCGATTTTGCCAAATCTGATCAAAATGATTTTCGGCTTTTACCGACTAAGGGCAAAATTCACTAACATTTTTCTTTTTTATATGTTATCGAAAATACAACAACCACAAGGAAACGATATGCGTTTGTGTTATTTTCCTTGTGGTTATTATTTTCGATAGCATAAAGGAAAAAAGTGTTATCGTAAGAGCAAAATCACCTATAATATTTTTATTTTTTTATATGAATTTTTGTTAACAGATTAAATTAAGGTCTGGAATGTGTAATTTTTGGCCAAGTTGGGCTTCATGATAATAAAATAAATATTTATGAAGAAAATCGAAAGTCTATCTTAAAAAGTCGACTTTCCGATTTTCATAAAGATCAAAAGTCGACTTCGACATTTATGTTATATACAGCGTTGTTCTCTCTCTCATTTGTTGTTCGACCCTTAATTATGATGTAATTACTTAGTTCCCCAAAATTGTCTGAGCGAACACCTACTTTTGTACGTTGTTCAATTCGAATCACTCTCTAAATCACCAAGAATTTTGTCCCATCTCTAACAATTGAAAGAATTTATCGAAAATAAATTAATTTTAACAGCATGACAAAATTTTTTTAAATTTTCAAACTTTTTCAGTAAAATTGAAAATGATGAATGAAAAGTTAGAATTATTTTTTCTATTTAGATCAATATGTGATTCACGCAAATATGTTACAATTTTGATATAAAACAAGAAACAAAAAGTTTGAAATAAAAAACTCTGATGACATGAATTAAGAATAGTGTTGTATGAACGGGTTAATTCATGTACGTAATTCTGAGAGCGAACTACGTTGTTAGAATGCCCGTCAGAACATGGCATTAGACTTTTCCATACAGAAAGTCGATTAATCGATTAGTCGGAAGTCGATTTACTAATCCCTATTATCAGCTGATTTTTCATTTCTTCATGTCTCTTTCTATATAGAGTTCTCGTCTGCTATGCTTCACACTCATACGTAAACATCTTTAATTTTATTACGATTTGCTTTTTCCCTATCTGCGTTTGGATCGTTTTTAAATTTGGTTGCAGTTCTTGTACGAAACAATTTCTTATTGGATAGCATATCAGCTGACATTAGGTTCGTTCGTTTACTCAATAATTTGTACGAATTTGTACAAATTATTACAAAATGTTGTTCGTTTACCCAAAAGTCCAGTAAAAGAGAGTGAATTGAGAGAGCAGATTTGACAGTTGTGTTACTGAGTATTTGCAAATTCTTACAAGGAAAATTTACTCAGTAAGAATTTTCTTGTACCATCAGCTGATATTTAATCAGCTGTTTTGTTATGTTTTGTAAACAAACAAAAAATTGTTCTCAAGAAAATTGATTGTTTTGTGAATTTTATTTTGATTTTGTATCATTAAATACAAAAATGGATGAAGAAAACGCAAGTATTTAAAAATAAGGTAATACAAGAGTAATTGGCGAACGATTTTTTAGGTTCCAAATCCAAACAAAAAAGTGTGCATCCCTAACATGTCTGGAACACCATCGGTTATGTCCACCCCCATATCACACAACCCTTTTAAATGTTTGTGGGAAACAAACAACATCAATTTTCCGCTTGTTATACATTTTTCTAATAAAAATGCTGTTGTTTAGTTTGCGCCAATTTGTTTGTTGTTTTAATCAGCTGTGTCGAAACAATCTTTTTACTGGATGTTGTTCGTTTACTTTTTGCAGTTTTCTCTCTTGAGAAGGAAAGATTCGTATTTACTCTCTGCAAATTCTTACTGAGTAAATTTTACTGGGAAAGTAAACGAACGAACCTATTGTTGTTGAGGAAGCCTAATCGTTCATTTGTTTTGATTTCCCGATTCGTCCGATTTTCGACCTAAGATACACTAAACTTTGTTTGTTTGTTTTGATTCTGGCTTTTATCAGTAACGTTTTAAAGCTGTTTCGTCCAATTCCGCAACGCCGTCAAAACTTTAGAAACGGCATTGTAATCATTCGAAGGCACGCACCATTCCCATATCGCTGCCGCTGCCGCTTAATACGTGACCGACGTGAGGTTAAAGCGCAGCTTAGCACAACACTAATCAAGAACAAGTGAGAACGACACAAGAACGGATGGATGTCTGAGCTGACGCTGATAAAATCAAAATTACAAAATAGTCGTCTTCAAAAAGCCATTGCCACAACAACAATGCATGGGCGAAGCATAAAAATAAATCGGGGGCCAGCAGCTATTGCTGCCATCGTTGTCCTATGTTTCCTCTTCTATATGTTTAGTGGAGGCGAGGAGGAACATCGTCCTGCCATGTATGGAATGCTGAGGAATCAGAATAAAGTTAATATGCGTAAGCTGTTAATAGGTGCCATACAAGCCGCCCAAAAAGGTGGCCTGGAGATACTGGAGGTGGCCAAGACCCGAGACCTCAAAGAGAAAAGTAAAGGCAAAACAGATGAGGGTGCAAATGATCCGTACACAGATGCGGATGGTCGTTCACATTGTGTTATGAAGCAGGGTCTGCACAGAATCTTTCCACGTGTCACAATTTTCTCGGAAGAGGATAAGGAAAGCTGTGCCGAGGCGGTGACATTTGATTTGGATCCTACGGTATTGCATGAAACAGCTGTGATTCCCGATAAATTGGTGGACATTAAGGATGTTACCGTGTGGATAGATCCTTTAGATGCTACACAGGAATTTACAGGTTCGTGGTCCGTCTAGCTAATGTTATATAACAGTTTATTAATAATTGGTTTTCATTTTCAGAACAATTATATGAATATGTCACCACCATGGTGTGTGTTGCGGTACGCGGCGAACCTGTCATGGGTGTTATTCACAGCCCCTTTAGTGGTGAAACTGCCTGGGCCTGGGTGGATCATTCCATGTCGGAATATTTATCACAAATCCACCCAGATCGTCCAAACACCGATAGTCCAATTATTACCGTGTCTCGTTCTCATGCTGGGGATGTCAAGGATTTGACTCGATCAGTATTTGGTGAAAATTCCAATATCCTAACTGCAGCTGGTGCAGGCTATAAGGTACTACAAGTTGTTGCCAACAATGCCACAGCCTATTTGCATTCAACAAAAATTAAGAAATGGGATATATGTGCCGGGGATGCCATTCTAAGGGCATTGGGTGGTAAAATGACCAATTTGGACAATGAATTAATAAACTACGGTCCCGATGAGTCGCCGGTAAATGCTCGTGGTCTTTTGGCCACCATTGTTAAACATGATGAATATATTGAGAAATTAATGGACTATAGAAATAGTCATAAGAAGAGCACCCGGCAACGGTAGTAAGCGATGACATTCCCCTCTTCCTCTCTTCTGAAAACAAAGAAACTAGCGGACTGCTGTTCCTAATGTAAATGTAGCCGATAAATTTTGAATAACGTTTTTTTAAGTTAAGTTATATTAAAGAAAATATTTAAGTCAAATTTATGTTTTAACACAACATTGTTCAATGAATGTGACTGTACCACACACACAGATGAATCAGGAAATACGAAAAGAAATAACAAAAATCTCGAAAAAGAAATCCAAATCCAAAAATAATTGAATTTCAATGTGAACACAAGAAGATTGCCTCTGTCTTATCATCAATCAAGAACAAAATATAAAAATATGGTGAGTATTACTACAGATTTCTATTTAGCCTTCTTTCTTCGTAGCTCTTTGTTTTTGCATTTCACGTTGTGCTTTTGCCAAACATTCAATATTCAAAACAAGAAAACCTGTTTCTAAAGAGGTCATGAACTTCAGAATATAAATGGTAAACATAATTATGTACCTTTGCTGTGTGTAAATGTATGTATATGCTCCCTTATAATACATACTACGCGTTTATGTTTTTGGCTGTCAGATCGATAATGCTTTGGAATCTGTATAAACATTTTGCAGCTCAAGTGGTGTTTAGATTGAATCGATGACTAGGCATTTACATTTGACATATTTTTTTGCAAACAAACACAAAATCTTAAAAATAGAGCTTTTAATTGGTAACATATTCAAAATCACTAAGCAAAGCAGAGAAGTCCACCGTTAGCATATTGAAAATGGGACGGGATCATTATATGGGAGCTATGTCAAAAAATTTAAAAATAAGAGACTATACTTAAAATATTCTGCGAAGTAAAGTTTTCTTTTTTAAGGAATGTTTGTACTCACTAAAAATAAGTAATGCAAAAGTTCTGTCTCATCGGTTGAAAAATTCGCCATGAACACACCCAAAATGGAACGGGGCGGTACTATGACAAAACATTGATCTAATTGATCAACATCCTCCAAGAATCAGGTGTACCAAATTACAAGCTTTTCTGCTAAGCATTTCAAAATACAGAATATCGGTGAGAGGGTCATCTTGGTCCAAAGTTGTGGAACCATTTGTATTTGGCGAACCAGTGGAGCTTAAACTAGAAATGAGGGTCACTGATGGAGTGTAGAATAGATATAGCAAAGGGTTTTTTGGACGTTCGAGTTTTAAGGATCCGTAAAGTACTAAAATGTACTAAATTTGGTGCAATTTCATAGCATGCGTATGTATGGAGCTAAAAACTTTAAAATTGGAATGCAAATTAAGTTTGAGAAATAGGGTTACGGATTGAGTTGGAATCCTGAAATTTGAAATAAACATACCGTCGGAGTGTAGGATTAAGATATGTACGTATTTTTTGGGTATTTGTTGCTTATTTGCACGAAAAGTACAAAATTGAACACTGAAATTTGGAGTTAGGCTCATTGTAATATTGGGGTATGTGCGATTTGGATATGTAGAAAGTTTTGGAAATTTGTACTAATGCGTACTAAACGGCACCAAATTTGGATTTTGCTGAATCGATAAAGCTGGAATCTAGAAATTTGAAGTTAGGATCATTGTCGGGTTGTAGGATGGAGCTATGTAGGAAGCTTTTGAAATTCGAACTTTGGATACCCTCCACCAAAGGCATACTGACAGATACTTGAAATGAAAATATAGGGAACATACCAAAAAGTGAACCTTTGCCGATAACTCTACAAACCGGTTCATGTAAATCTTAATGTACACCAAATACAAATTTCAGCAATCTTTAATGAAAACCCCAAAGCGTGGACTGATACTAATAATGCATGGTAGTATATACAATCCTCAAAATACTGAAATTTAGATTACAAAAATAGATTTCGAACCCAATATTTTTGTTTTGTGTCTCAATTATTTCCTTCAGGAGGTATAATTATATGGGGGAGATGCATAAATGCTGGGGACAAATCCTACACACGGAACTACCCCTGAAAAGGGCGCGAATATTGAAAAATGTTGGTAGGAAGATTTGTTACCATATGCGACTACAAAATACCAAATTACAGCGAATTCGTTCAAAAACGCGCTCAAGAACCCCAAAATACCGAAAATTGAGGGTGTCTTATATGCAAGCTACCCGAAAAAATTGTCCTATATTTATTATTCGATCGATTTTTGTAATGTGTAATGGAGACATTTGGTACCGAAAAAGAAACCATGGTATCAAATTTCAGCGAATTCGGTTGAAAAACGCGCTCAAGAACCCCAAAATATTGAAAATTGGGCGGTATACTTATATGGGGAATATAGACCGATATATCATTTTCGAACTTGATCTGCATGCAGAAGAAAGACGACTCTAAGCATCTGGCGATCTATCTGAATTCCTTCAGAAGATAGCGTGATTACAACAGACGGACGGACATAGCATATTCGCTAACGACGTAGCGGGCATATGCTAGAGTTTTCGATGTTTCGAGGTTTTTATTCCACCAAAAATATTAGTATTGGACCATGTTTTAGGGTGGTCCTCAATAGCGATACATCTCAATTGTTAAACTTTTCTAACAAAAAATATTAATATTGGTTCATGTTTTAGTATTCTCATTGGGTTTAGGGTTTCAAAAGTTTCGGGTCAATATTTTTAGGTATGTTTTCCAACCGAATTGCATATAATGTCATATATTGGATTTTCTCTCTTCGTTTTAGTATAGCTCCCATATAATGGTACCTTCGTATTTTAATACGTTTTTCAACCGAATAGGGTAAAATTTCATATTTTGGTTCTAATTGTACTTTTTGGTATAACCCCCATAAAACTGTACCACCATTATTTGTTACTTCGAGAACAAACCTCTAGTGTCTTTAGGGATTTACATAAAACATACATATATCGATTTGAAATGGGTTATAATACGGATCCTGAATTTAAAATGTGTTCAATAAATCCATTTTTTGTCGCCATAGCATTGTCTTTAATAAATTGAAAACTAATTTTGAATTAATGGATATACATTTTTGTATTTATTTATTATACATACACATACATTATGCCAGAATATAAAATAAATATTCGAGTTACATTTCATATATAAAAGAAAAAAAACGAACAAAAAAGTAATAATATTCGAAAATACAATATACGATTTTCGAAATAATAATTATACAAAAGACAAAGAAGATGTTGGTACTGTGATAAACAAAAATAAAAAAATAATAAACATTACAATACAAATAACAAAGATACATGTGCAACTGGTAGTATATACATATGTATATGTCAAGAAGTATTAGATGACTCTTTATACATAGCGAGTGAATGGATGTTCTGAAGTTCTGGCTAATGAAAACATCACCCATTCAATACACTCTACAACATACTAACAAACAAAATAATAATAAAAAAAAAAAACAATAATGTTAAACAAAATAAAATTGAAAAATTAACTTAAACAAATGAAGAAACGAAAAAAATAAACAATACAAACAAAAATATATTTATTTGTTGATGAGTATCTATCTGCTGTGTTAAGAAGACCAAACAAAAAACGAAGAATACAATTAATCTAATGTGGGTTAAACAAATATTGGCAAAGTGTGTTGAAAAGGGTTGTGTGGTGTGTGTCTGTGTCTCAAAGAAACAGAACAGACACTTGGAAAAGAGAAAAAAGAGCTATAACCGAATTCTTCATCCATAAGTCCAACTAAGAAGAAACGATGAACTGTCATTGCTGCAGTAAAACAAAAATAAAATAAAAAAATATTGTATAGGTTGGAACTCGTGCTGGAATTCCGACGCCCCATACCTTATCCTCTATAACAAGTGTGTGTTGCTGTGCTGGTTTGTTTTATATATTCTAAAATACATATATACTTTTTTATTATATATATAGGTTTAATATGTAATATATATTTTTTTCTTTTAAAACATTGTATATAATTTGCGCTATTTTTTGTGTTTTTTTAACCAGGAAGCCAGCAATCCAATAGAAAATTTGGTCAATTTCATCACGAAAAATTAAAATAAATGAAAAAAGAAAATTAAAAACTGTAACACAATTATTTAAATGAATTGGATTACTGGCTTGTTATCTATTTTTTTGTTTGTGAGTCGTGGCTATTTTTGTTTTCTTTTCAGTAGTTGTCTACTAAATTTAACCCAAGGGATTGTTGGTATCAAAAGTGATCTTGGGTACGAAACCATTTTCACCATCCACAGTATAGGCCACAGTCATTAATCTTCCATCGGGCAACCAGACGGCATATTGTCCATTTACCTTTTGTGTGTGATAATAATATTTGCCGACATTTCGATTTACAATGTAGTCGGGTTGAGAGGTCATGAAATGGAGAAGAGATGGAAAAAAGGTGTCAGTTTAACTTGTGTGTGTAGACAATAGATGTCATTATTGTATTGTTTTGTCGTTGGTATGAATAAAGTATTACCTTTCCTTGAGCATCACCAGCCTCATTTTTATTGAAAAATAATTCCTTTTCGGGATCTTTAACCTCGTATTGATATTCATACTGAAATGAGGAAATGAAAAAAAGAAATAATAATAAAATAAATACAATTAGTTTGAATATGATGATGTAAGAAGTTCAGCAGGAATAAATTTCGATGGGGAAAATATGAAAAAAATTGCGTGAAACACATTTGGCGCCAATATTTTAACCAACTATTATATCCAGATTTCTTCAAGAAAATAGTATTCCCGTTCGAACTCTTAAATTTGTATTTTTTTGAAATTCGACTTATAAGTATCCGAAAAGTACTATTCGTAGCATTTGAATGGAATGAGCTAAAAACTGGAAATGAAATGAGATATTTTGGAAATTCCTACTAAAGTGAACTAAATTTGGAACATTTTAAATTTTGAATGAACCGATGTAGGAAGTTTTGGAAATTCGTACTAATGTGTACTATATGGTACCAAATTTGAATTTGGGTGAAACGATAGAGCTGGAATCTTGACATTTGGAGTTGAATCATTGTTGGGGTGAAGGATTGGGGTACCAAAAATGGTACCA